CGTTCCGTTATAACCGTAATGATAGCGAGTGAGCAGAAGAAACAGACTCGCAGAGTGTACGATCTTCGTACGGAACTACACTCGCTGCGAGTACGATACAGTATCCACTCGCGTTAGTTTTTGTTCATCCCAAATTATTTTGTTTAAACAAATAAAATCTATCAGCATGTGATTTTTTCTCTGGGAGCACAAAAAAAAAAAAAGAGAGCTAAATGTGACAATTATAACGTGAAGAAAATATTTAATTTTTTTTCACGACTCAAAGAAAAATTTAAAGCAGCCAAAAAAAAAAGAAACATTTAACTTTAAAAACAATTATACTTAGTGCTGGGCCAGGTTTCTATATATTTATTTTTCAATCTCAAGTGGACAAATACCCATTACGTTTGGGCTTTTAAGTTGGTAGCTACAGTGAGGCCCATCATGAAATTGCATAGCTAAATGATTATTATAGGAACAAACGTTTAGTTGTTCAAAAAAAACAAACAAATATGGACAAAACATGTAGCAGTGGGTTGATGAATGGTGAAAAATTTCATAATTTCTCACATATATAACGAATTTCGATTGCTTAATTAGAATTTGGTGTAGCAAAGATGTAAATAAAAGAGAAATAAAATTGTATATGTCATGGATGTCCATGAATGTATATATAAAAGCACTAATCTTCTATTGGATGAAGATATTTCTCATGGATGTCCTTAATTGGTGTTTATATCATCAATTTTGTGGATTTACACCATATATTTTGCTATGAATCTCCACAATATTATGGTGGACGACGTTAATTTAGACATGTAATCTTCTTCTTTGTGCTAATTAAATCGTTTTATTACTACTCGAAATTAAATATGTATAATATGTTTTGTTGACAAAGATTAGAAACTAAAATTTATGGCGAAGAGAAGCAAACGAAAAGCTTTCATAACAGTTTTCGCTTAAGAGTAGACCGCACAAACAATTTTTAGATACGTTCACAAATATATGGTAGAAAACCCATGGTAAGTGTCTACAAAACTCTAGTAGATGTTTATAAAATTAGTTACTATTTTCTTCACATCACACTTTTATTAATTTTAGAAAAAAAATTTGTCCAAAATCATTTCTCTTTCCAAAAAGCGTTAAAAAACTAGCAATTAAAAACATCAAAAACTTTACTGGGTGTGGGATCATACAAGAACAGGAGATTATTTGGTGAAAAATGGCTATTGGTTAGCTAATAAGGAGAAGAACCATGAATTGATTCAACAAGCTACCTGCCTTCCTTCCATTAATGGGTTGATTGATCAGATTTGGGAGATCAAAGCTCCATTGAAGATCCGAAATTTCCTGTGGAGAGCAATTAGTAATGCAATTCCGGTTGTAGATCTTATTGCAAGTAGAGGTATAACTTTGGATAGCAGATGCCAAACGTGTGGTTTGGAGGGAGAAGATCCGAATCATGTGCTGTTTGTATGTACTGCAACGAGACAAATATGGGTATTATCTAATGTTCCTTGGCCGTATTCAGATTTCCATTCCTCTTCCTTGTTCTCAAACTTTTCATATATCCTGAAGCTCATGAAGAATAGACTTACGCCCTTGTATATAAAGAGAGCAATTCCTTGGATATTGTGGTTGATTTGGAAAAGTAGGAATGCGCTTTTTATTGAAGGGAAAAGGTTTGAGCCAATTCAAACTGTTAAAAAAGCTATGGAGGATGCAGAAGAATGGTTTGTGGCTCGAGAGGTTCAGGAAGAGGGTGAAGGTTTAGAGATGACTTTGTCTGAGGTGCGTATGAACAAATGGAGAAGACCACCTGAAGGCTGGTTAAAGTGCAATATTGGCTTTTCGTGGAACCAAAAGGAGAAGTTTGGAGGGGGCAGTTGGGTTTTGAGAGACTTCAAAGGGTTAGTGGTGTTACACAGCCGGAAAACCTTTGGTGTTTATGAAACTGAAGCCGATTTCAAGCTTGCTGTTTTGATTTGGGGGATTGAAAGTATAATCAGCCATAGAAAAGAGAAGGTGATATTCTCGGCTCAGCAGGTGGATTTGATAGAAGCTCTTTTACGGCCAAAAGTTTGGCCTAACTTCTCTTATCAGGTTCAGACTTTATTACACACTTTGTCTCCTTTGTTAGAATGGAGAGTTGAAGCAGCTATAGCAGGTTCAAACCGTGGAGCATTCCTCATAGCACAAAGTGTAACCATGGAGTTCATGATTCACTCTTATGTTGCTGCTGGTTATCCCTTGTGGTTACGAGATCTTTTTATGCTTAAACAGTCGGATTGATATGCTTACGATGTGCTCAGGTTGTGGTTTTTGAGTTATCTCATTGTAGCCAAATTTTGGGTGTAGCATAGGTAGTGGGTTGTAATTAGCCTGTGCTATGTTGTGGTTGTAACAGTTGGGTTTTAAGGCCTTTTAATATAATTATTAAACAGATGGCAAAAAAAAAAAAAAAACATCAACAACTTTTCTTTTCCGACATAATCAACAACCTTTCAACTAAAATTATTTGAGCAAAATACTGAATAATATATCATGTTTTCTTTTTCTTGAAAAAGAAATATAGTATATCATGTTCCTCCATAGGTAGGCCAACAAAACAGTATAATAAATAAATATGTGGAGTGTTAAAGCGCAATGGCAGCCCCACATACAAAATTAATGGATCTAGATGATGACACCGCCTAAAATATAATTTTCTGTTTAAATTTAAATAAATCTGGATGGTGACAGTCCACTGCAAAATAAAAAATATATATAGAATAATCTAAATTTCTATAAATTCGATTAGTAATGAAACAATTTTACTAACACAAACAAGTTAGATTATATGTTTAAATCGACGTCCACCATAATATTGTAGACATTCATACAAAAAAATATGGTGCAAATCCACAAAATTGATGCTAAAAACACCAATTAAGGACATCCATGAGAAATTATTGTCATCCAATAGACTATTTGTGCTCTTATATACGGACATGAATGACATACACTATTTTATTTCTCTTTTATTTACATCTTTGCTACACCCAATTCTATCCCCCAATTCTAATTGAGCAATGGAAATGCGTTTCTTACATTAGTCTTTGGTCTGGACTCTGGACCATTCTTTTTTCTTTACATTCTTTTGTTAGTGTACACTTCAAAAAGAATTCCTAAAGCACAAGATAACTTGTGTAAGTTTTGCTAAATTTAATCCTTTTCAATGAGGGTAATATTAATTTGTTAATTTTTTAACTGTTTTTTTTATTGCACACAATTTCCTTTATTGTTTTGCATGACTTCCCTCTAATATATTAGATGGTAATGTGGAGATGCCTAAATGGATGGGAAACTTTCTTCTAGTATTTATTAGATGAAAATTTTACTTTTCAACCATTTCACCAAAAATCTTTTCAACTTTTTTTTTTTGGTCATCTTATTACATCCCATGTGGACCACAAGACCGGCCCACTAGCTTATAGTTCCTCACGTAGGAGGGAGGGGTCGAACCCCTTTTTTTGGTGCCAAGAGAGTGGTTATTACCATTGCACTACATGTGCTTTGGCAAATTTTTTCCACTTATTTATCTTGATTGGAAAAATAATATAATAATAAAGAGTAAAATATGTTACAGTTGTTTATTTTTACTTTAACAATGCCAAACAATCACGTCCTGAACAGTGTTTAATATTTCAGTTCACACGTGCAATCGTGTGGTGTTCGAGGTTCCATGTCATTACTTAGGCTCCGAATGTGACAGTGCGGTGCAGGGCGGGATAAATACGGTGCACCCTGCAAGAC